TAAAAATGTATTTTTAGAAGTCATACGCAGTTAGAATTGTGGGTTAAAATATGTGTATACACTCCAAATTCCAGAAGATGTCAGGTGCTTTTAGAAGTTCTTTTCAGAATCAGGTTTGCAATAGTAAGCTTTTTTCTAAAAGTCACTGCATGCTTTCTGAATTTAACAGCACATCAATGTTTTATAACAAATTTTAATCCCCGCTGGAAACAGAGTATGTGTAAAAGGCTTTTTTTTTTAAAAAAAAAAAAAAAGAAAAAAGTCAGGCACTTGGTTAGAGCTTGTCAAAAGCTTATCTGAACTTGTAAATCCTTTGAGATTTCCCTTTCAGCATAGGTTTTAACTCTGTCTCAGCGTCAGTGCAAGTTTTCAGTGCCTGTACCAGGAAAATATGAAGTATTTGAACATATCTAATAGGCCAATATCTAATCAACACATTTGTATAAGATTCTTCCATTCCCCTTGGTCATTAGATTTTTTTTGAGTGCTGGAGGCACAAAATGCTCAGTCTGACAACCAGTGCAACTAGTAACGCACCAAGTCTGATGGATCCATTGCTGGAATTCCACGCCACCAATCCTAGTGAGAGTATTACACTACTAAGAGTATTGTGAAGCTTCTGAAACAATCTACAAAAAATAATTATGTATTTGTAATTAACTGTAGGTATAACAGAGAGCATTACTCCAGGGAACTGTGTGGAAAGGGAGAGTGAGATGGAGTATCTGACCTTGCCTGCTAACATAAACAGGCATAAGTAATACAATACCAGAAGAAAGCTGATTCTTAAGCCTTAAACTTGAACGACACCCAATTTAGGAAAGAGTAAAAAGGCTTGGTAGGAATGATTCTTAAGTGAATGATGCCATGCAAAAAACATTTTTGAGTGTTAAATCTGGAGTACTTGGGCAGTCATTCAACTGGCTGGTGGGAAGCACAACTAACTTGCACTAAGTCAGTTTCAGGGGGTCACAAAACACGTAGGCTGATATCTCTCTCCTGCTGGTCTTGAAAATAAATTTTAATTTTTTAAAGTTTTCATAAATAAGATAAAATAGTTAACTTTTACCAACTGATATAATTAATCAGAAGTTGTGTCAAATAGGAAGTAACTTCATTTTTGTATGGTAGCTTTTTTTTTTTTAAATCATTTAAAGGGATAGGGTAGAAGTAAGGAATACCAAAGCAGAATACTTAAGATTACTTACCACATGAAGAATTTTATTTTCTGTTTCATACACTGTACAATCCTGTGGTAAAACAAAAAAAAATAATGCACATTATGTTAAATTTTCTATTAAGAAAGAAAACAATGCTTTATGCTGATAACTATCCCTTACAGATGTACCTGTAAAGACAAATGATCTCTTGAGTTTTGTCACGTCCAGAAGGTTACTTTACAATCTTAGGAGTCCTGGCTTCTCTTGTGGCTGGTTAATCTCAGGGATCTATTCTTCCCTTTAGAGTCACAAAACTCTCGTGCTCAATACTAGCAACAATAGAAATGTAAGGCAGAGGGGACAGATTCATGATAGTGAGAAAAAAGGAATTGAAAATAATTAATCTGGCCTGTCAGAAGTTCAATGCGCAGAGTGAGATACACATTGCCTAGCCTTAAATCAGGCAGAATGTTTGTTAGCTGTTCTACAAGTTGTGCGGGGTGCAGACGGTTGCGTCAGACCTATCACTAGGTAGATTGTGTTACTATAAAGCATGGGAAGGAAGAGTAGACAGAGAACGTTTTGACAAGTACAATGTTAAAGATGTTAAATGTGGTGTGTCTACACTGTCACAGTTTGGTTCACTCCATCTTTTGCATCAAAGCCCTGATTGTCTGCAGCATCCACAAACAAGGGATAAGAAACAGCAGTGGTCCCATCTCTTGGGAGAAGTCCCAAAACTGCTCTAGCTTTGGACTTTAGAGGGCATAACTCACACCAAAAAGGGATGGGAAAGAACACGGGCTTGCTTATGTTGAGCACTGGTCCAGGGACATCCAGGGGGTTTCACTGCCTTAAGACCTCCCAAAGAACAGCCCCGTGCCAGCTTTCCATTGCACAACATTGCTATTAATCAATTTAAAGTAGGCCTGAAAAACAATATTCCTAAATCAACCTCTTTATTTGCTTAGGACTTTTAACTTCTAGACCAGTCATTTTCCTATTTTAGTTATCATTTTAAGAATAATAAATGTTATCACTACATAACTTAAAAGTCATTACTCCCTTAACTTGCATTTTGATTTAGTGATTACAGTGGCTAGAATATTATTTTTCATTCATAAACAAAGCATACAAATTCCTAAAAGCAATCTACTGCCTCTGCTGCTCTTTAATGTTTTGAACATTTCCTCAGTACAATCCTCTATAAAGCAAGACAGTCACGGCAAAACAGCATTTAGCCCAAATGCACTGAGGCAGCTCTTCTCCTGCCAGTCAGCACTTCAAATCACCACACAGGCTCTCCAGCTATATTTTACTAAAACATAAAAGGAAAACACAGAAAACTCTAGTTTGCCAGACAGAGGTTAGAATAGACTCCTCAAAAGAGCTGGTCACCTCAGAGGCCGGGCGCAGCCAGGGCTGCAGCCCCACAGCTGGGCTCCCTCAGCTCCAGAACCTTTCGCCGCTCGCGCGGGGCAGGCAGCCCACTGTGCTCCCACACGGTGAGCACCGGCCTGCGACACCTACCTGTCATCAACAGGGTGCTTTTCTGTAATGACATCTGAGGGGGAGGAAAGATTTCTGAGGTACCATGGCATCTCCCTGTGTTCAGGGAAACCAGCGCCCTGGCCCTGTGGCTGGCAGGAGCCCCAGAGCCCCGTGAGGGAGGAAGTGAAGAGGCCGCCACAAAACATACTGAGGACCAGGCAGGGTGGGATCCTCACCTTGGCCCTTGTTTATCATAGGAATCTTGTTTATAATGCTGTATTGGCACTGATTATTTACATTTAAGTGAGTTAATGGTTAATAACAGAAAAATTATGTTGGGAAATTGCTAAATACTTCTCCCAGTGCTACGTCACATTGGAAAAAAGCTCTCTACAAAGCAAAATAAGGATTTCAGGACATATTTTTAAGTATGAGGATATGACATGTAAAAAAACACTGTCTTGTTTGTTTGTCTCTTTTCCTTTGAATAAGTTTTACAGTAAAATTTAACATACTGATATACCTAGAAGATTCCCTCAAGTAACTTAAGATTCCCCACAGTTCTCAAGATTTCCTCTTTCCTGGATCTTAGTGAGTTATTACTAACAGGTAATTGCTTTAAACTTCCCATCCCTGGCAGTGTTCAAGGCCAGGTTGGATGGGGCTTTGAGCAACCTGGTCTGGTGGAGGGTGTCCCTGCCCATGGCAGGGGGGGTGGAACTAGATGGGCTTTAAGGTCCCTTCAAATCCAAACCATTCTGGGATTCTATGAAATAATTCCAACATCCTCACTCCATTCACTCTCAAAGTAGCTTAGCTATATGATCAGCTTAGCCTGTGGTACTCTTTGCAAGAGGAACAGCAGCTAACTGGCAGATCTCTGCTCCTTTCGTCCAGCGGCTCAGACCCTCAACTGTATCCCATCTGTGCCCAGCTCCGGAACCTTCCTCCTTGGGTGCCACTTTGGGGATCTTGTCCCTCATGTCCATCTGAGGACACTGCAGAGCGGCTTGAGCTTGCCCCAGCCACTCAGCTCTGGGTACCAGCCTGGAGAACAGGTAAACATCACATCCTGAACTCTAAGGGTCATGTTTATTTTCGACGATTGGCACTTTTGTAGAGAAATTAATTTCTGAAGTGAATACGGTTTAAAGAATATTGCTGCAGAACAAGAAAGTTAAAATCAGAAGATTGTGAGTGCCAAGGAACACAGAGAAGAATTTATGTTAGCATTTCATGGTCAAGTATCCCTTTGATGTTTCTTCTGTATTCATACTGTTATTTTCTACAGCACAAAAAAAGAATTCAATTAGTCAGTTTGGTTGACAATGCCCAAGGCAGTTTTTCCTACAAGTTTTACACACTTCAAACAGCACATCCACCATCTCATTTTAACCCTCCAAGTACCAAGAGAACAAAATGATCACAACAGGGCTTACAGCTTGACTTCAGAACTAACGCTCCTTTCTAAATTATTCCTTTAATTTCTGTGCTAGAAATATAATATGAGCTTCATTCTGAACAAACTTAATTACTTCAGGTCAAAGAATAGAAGACTTATGTATAGTAAAACTGAAATTTTACTGTTTTGTAGAGCAGAATTAATGGTAGCTATACTTATGTTGCACATTCAAGATTACATTAGCATTTAAAATGTTAATGGCTTTGGAATTCCTTCCAAAATAGATGCATATTGACTTTTCTTTTTTTAAAATACATCAGACTAGTTTAATGGAGAGGTTAAAAGCATTTGCAATATTATACTAAAATATTAAGATATGTAGGTCACAATATTCTTCTCATTTATTTTTCTCTGATACATAGCAATGCACCAGGGATCTCATTAAAAACCCCCACAACTTCCAGGACTAACATTTATAGAATTCTGATCTATTTTTCTTGGAAAATAAATAATAGTTACAGTGATATTCTTTCTACGTCCTCCATAAGCAAGATGACATGTTAAAAGTGTTTTTTCTTAGAGTTTAAAAAACTCTTAAAAAAAAATTAGTAGCTGCATTCTATTTCCCCTCTGTAAAATGATAAAATACAGGAATTACAAAACTAGTCCCAGCAGCAGTATTACACACAAGCTAGCTTCTGCACTATCCAGAACATCCTACCTTTCAAAGGTACAGAATGCCTTCATAAATCTGATAAAGTAAAACAGCGTTCCTTTGAAAATTCATAAAAAGAAAAGGTCAGTAGGACTTGTGCTAACCCACACTATACTCATAATTTTAGTTTGTAATTCTGAAAGAAAAAAATTCCAGTACTACTGAAAATTGCAGACACCATAAAGTATGTTTTATGACAAGTCTTGAGGACAGTTAACTAACACATAAAAATACTAATACATGTAAAATATTTAGTTCGTTAACTTAGTACAATAAAAGAGCATGAGTTAAGTCATCTACTGAAAAGAAACAGAGACCCTATAGCAGAGCAGCTTGGAGGAAAACTTACAACCTTGTGGTGTTTCCCAATATAACACTGCAGTAAAGATCTACTGCAATCTTTGAAAGGTGGATATGACAAAATGATATTTAAAAGTATATTGCTTGCATACATAAAATCAAACACTCTTCTGGAATTCACACATTAAAAAGAACAAGATTGCTCTGAAATCAGGCAAATATACACCAGTAAATACACTAAAGTAACTTATTTTACTTGGCTTAATTAAGGTAATCTATATTTAGAAAACAGTGAACAGATGTTTGGTAACAACATGTTCTTTAGCAAACGCAAGCAAAATAAGATTGAGGGGCTGAAAGCTGAAGTCTGCAAAGTTCAAACTGAAAATAACACCCACATTTTTAATGGCAGTTGCTGAATCACAGAATAACTCAGGTGGAAGGGACCTCTGGAGGTTATCTAATCCAACCACCTGCTCAGAGGAGAACTAATTTAAAAGTTAGACCAGGTACAGAAAACTACTAAGAAACAACAATTTCTATCAATTGCAGTACAAACTAGATAGCTTTAAAAAACCATATGCTTCATCCTAAATACAAAATATTTGACTAAGCCTAGGGTAAAAATCTGTGATATGGTCTCTGAATTTATCTCAGACATTTGCAATGCTCTGATCTAACATGCTTTTTTTGCACATCATCAACACATTTTGATGGGACATTGCACCTCAAAATCAGGATGTTTCTGCATAATGCTATTCTTTTATAGTTTCCCTACTTATTTTAGTGAAGGTGAGATCGTGAGGGATAAGAAAACTTAGCAGAATAAAGTACATTCCCAAGCATAAATGAACAGGTATAAAACTTGTCTAAAACTAGAGAATAAAAATCAATGTTCTTATAACCAGTGTGAGAATATACTATTTACAGATAAGCAAGTGACTGCTTGACGTGTTGTGTAAATAATAGTACCCAACATTGCTGTTCATCTGTTTGGTTTAAATGTTGAATGAGGATTTCATCTGCACCCTCGCACAGAGAAAGAATATGACCTAAAAGCTAAAAAAAAATAATCTATTTATTATATCTAAGAGTATGTCACTCAGATACATACAGTACATCCTAGTGAGAAGATTCATAAGCAGGGTCTGTATTAAACTAAAGTTACACAGTAATGCGCCCTTTTTAGAAGAAAGTTCACTTTGAGTAGCAGCTAGAAGGTATGCACACAAAGCACGTTAATTTTGCACAAAATAAGTCTTTAAGTGAGGAATGTTTTCAACCTGATGTGCCAAATGCATAGCCTGGACTGCTACTTTCACACTGACTAAATTAAATATATAAAATTTATATTATTTATAAAACAAGGGGTATCTGAAAGGATCTGAGATCTAGGTTGCTATTAGTTATGCCTTTCATATTTTAGCCTACAGTTAAGACTGCAATTCTGGTTTAGGTGAGACATTTCTGCTTTCACACATTAAGATCAATTTTCCTCGGGTTTAGTAACAGCAAAACTGTCTCCCTATGAATGATTTAATTTTATCTGCTCTTTCTGGTGCTAAGTTTAGCATATTGTAAAAAGATCTTAGCAGATGACTATCGAACAACCCAGATCTGACAATAAGATAAGGAAAAGACAAAACTTGATTTGGAACCGACCTGAAGAACTAACTAAACATTTTTCATCTTGGAATGTCTCGGAGTTTATGCTAAAAGACCGATTGTTTTTAAGTTGTCAAAAGGAGGACAGCTTTGGGAGTGGAGTTGAAGAATTGTAAAAAAAGAACCAAACTATTGCTGGCAGAGGAGAACTGAATTTCATCTGCCAAAAGCAGTGAAAAGAACAGAAATGGAGACAGAAATTCAAAATTATACTATTTTCACCTAGACCCCAGGGGGAAAAAAATCCAACTCGCACAAAGTGCATTATCAGCTGAAAGGTGGAATTAGAATCTGAACTTTTTATACTGTAGAGAAGTTCATTTTGCTTAGTCTGTAAATCAAAAATAGCCTAGTACTATAAACACCTTGTAAGAGAAAGCTTAATAAAGATACATAAATAAATGCCTACATAGGAATTTTTAAACCAAGAAAAGAGAAAAAGGATCTATGTATTTTTGCAGTGCAAAACAAAAAGGACAAAATTTCTAAAAGGAATAAAGCTGAATATTATAAAGATAATAGTGTAAAACACAAAGACTGATCTTTATCAGCCTTAGTTCTTTTTTCAAAGAACTAAAATGAAATTGAAGAGGGGGAAAAAAATTTGCAGAATGCTACTACTCCAGGAAACCTTTTAAATTAAATGACTGGTCTGCTGTGAGGTTCCATAGAAAACCGTGCCAGCACAGGACAGAGGCAGGCAGTGGAGCCCTGTATACCAGAGGCAGGGCCAGTTCAAGGTGCTTACAAAGCTACAGCTTTAGGTGAGCTTTCTTGCTTTCCCTCCTACAAAACTTTCATCTTTCTTATTTGCTTCATTCCAAGGCCTGTTCTCTAGCCTCTCTGTGTATTCGAATAACACTGGTTTGTCTCATCAATATTTTTATCCACTCACAAGAGGAGAAGCTCACTGTAAATATTTGTAAAACAAATTTCCACTCTGTCTTCCTGTACCTGTGTGTCACCTCTTCTCTTACTCCAGGGGCAGACACTGTCAGAGACTATTATTATTTGTATACTATGTAGTACTACAGAACCAGATAAATTAATTTTATGTACCTGTGGACTGTACTACATTACAATTAAGTAATGAATGTCAGTGATGATAATACTACTACCCTTATTTGTTCCATATTTGGTTTATTTAATGTCATGAATGTTATTTCATGTTAAGCACTAAACATCTTTCATGTACCTGGCTCTCCTTTAAGTGAAGAGGCCACAGTGCTCTGGATATATTCGTATGTATTGTAAGAACTTATGCCTGAAAGTTTTTTGATCATTCATATTTTAATCTGTAATAAACTGTTAGCAGTAGTTAAGCTGTTTCCCACGGTGGTTTTATTCTTTTGTTTAACACTTGCGTGGTGGTAGATAACCCAATATGAAATTGTCTATTGAAAAGCAAAATGGATTATTTTTAACTTCACGCTGTTCTTCAATCTATCCAGGCACATGAGGATAATCAAAGTCCAAAAAAATCTTCCCATCATTCCCAGAGAAAGAGAACACGCAAAGAACAGAGAGGTAATACTAAAACAATTTTTCTGGTGAAGTAAAAGCTTAGCCATGTTTTTACCATTGCAATTTTTAAGCAACAGTATGAAGAGGACTCGGAGCAGAAGATAACCACTCCTACCTGTTGCACAATAGTTGTTAGTTCCAGGCACAGTTGAACAATGTTGTTTTTCAGCAGTGAGTATTCCGTCACGCTGACAAATGGAGACCTGTGACAAAGGATAGGTTTATACAGCATTAAGGATTATAACTGCTGTTTGCAGTATAAGAAGTTGTTAAACAGATTTATGGTCAGTAAATTTGTTTTCATAGAGGCAAATATAATCAGGTTGGCTAATTGTTCTATGGTTTAATCAAGGAAAAAAGTCCTGAAATAATGGCTATAGTTTCCAATAGCACAGTCTTACTGTTTTTTTGAGTCTTCAGAGACATTTAGAAGATATATGTAAATACAGAGATCAGTTCTACACTACAGAAATGACAATCTACACTACTAATCATGACAATCTCCATCAGCAAGTTACACAACTTTTGTAAAATATGCCTTTGAAACGAGAATGGCAGGAAGGATATAAACTGGATTTTGGGCAGAACATCAGAAGTTATTGTTCTTGTAGAAAGTAGAGATAGGAGGTTCCAAATCATTGTTAGTCTAGATTTCCTTTGTACAGCTCATTAAAAAGACAACATTTCTAGTATGACATCACTTCAGCAGCAGTTAGCACCTTAATTCAGAGAGCAAAGTAGCATTTACTTAGTCACTAAGAGCTTCCTGCACACTCTAATTTTCTTCAGGCTTTCCAAATTCCAGCTGAATATGACCCGATTTGAATTTATAAGAAGTGACAAGGTCAGAGTCTGAGAGAATATAACTGCTGGCATTAGGTTAGGAAGATGTCACCAGGATTATACAAATCCTGTAAAGGAGGGTGATTCACTCTCACTGTGATTTCTAAGGTGCCATTTATACATTCAAGAGCATTCAGATTCAAGATAAAGCTATCCGTTGCTATAACTCCAAAGAAAGAGAAACAAAACATAAATACTCTGATGCTATTTTATGTTTTGGTTTCTGTCTTTCCACAGTCAAAATTTTAACTACATTTATTCAGAGAGATACTTTTAATCAAATTCTCAATTTGTAAATGAAAAACAAAACAAAACAAAACACACCCCCGCTCCCCCCAAACACAACAATGGTTGATTGTTGAGCATTAACCAACACCACAACTGGACCTAATACATCAATCCTACTTTTGACAAACAAATCTAATAAGAATTTAATTTTCAAACTAAGCAGGAACTGTAATTTATTTCAAATATTCTTAATTGATTTACTCAGCTCCAGCTTTTTTGAGTCTTTTTCATGGCTGAAGGACAGTTCAAACTCCACAATCTTTTCTTTCTTACCCTTCTTTCTGAAATTACTGATGACGTTACCATTTGTGGCAGTGAGATGACAACTTGGAATAGCACAAAAGCATTCATTTTGCACAAAATACTATCAGACTGAAAAGAATCTGAAAAAGTAACTAGAGGAAACTTTAACACCCTCCTGAAAGAAAAGGGTACTACATTTCACCTCTGATATTTGAGAAATTTGCAACCCCAAATCTAGAGCTAGAATTCCAGAACTGCCATTTTAGTATTAGAATAAAAAACTAGAGGAGAAAAAGGAAAGAACAAACAGAAAACAACCCAAAGAATTATTCTCATGCATAAAGGATGAAGAAATAGTAAGTTACCTGTCCAGCCAGGCTAGTAAGTTCTTGGCAGCACCAATCAGGTCAACTACGGAGGTAAGAAAATCATTTGGCAGTCGTCTGGAGGCCCTGCCATCATAATGGCCACTCCTCCTTCTACCCGTTATAAAGTTCTGAAGATTTTTGGCTGAGGCATTCAGCTTGTGAGATAAAGTTCTCAGGTTTTCAGTCTCCAAACCATAATTCTGAGGGGAAAGAAGATGATACACAATTAAGTGAAATGGTGTGTTGCAGCTAGGTGAACAAAACTGTGAGGTTAAACATTCTGAATGGTATTGGCTGAAAGGACAGGATAGTTATGGACGCCTGGTGTTAGACTAAGCAGCAGGCTACTTTGTTTAGAACATACAGGATGCATCCACCTTGTTAGCACAACCACCTCTGCTGTCATCAACACTCACAATGCTAGAGTCCCCAAATCCATCAGTCCAACTAAGGCGCTGAGAGGAAGGCAAAAAGAATCCCCATATGCTGGTTCTCAAGGTCTTTCCCATTTTTCAAAAAGTGAAGATGAGTCAGTCCACTATCCCCTACCTGATGCGGTTCAGGGTTAAGTAGCCGTTTGGGATATTTGTTACCTCAGAGCAGGTCTTTAGCCGTCCCACTGCACTGGATCTCACTCACTTGGATTTGTGTTAGTCCTTCCACTAGCTTGTAATAACTTAGCCTTAGCAGAACTTCCCTTTCACTTACACTGTGAATAAGGTCTAAAATTTTATATAGCCTTGGTGACAGGCTTTTACAGGAAAATTCCTTCCTGAACCCCGCTGTTGTTGGTAAGCAGCTGTCCCATATGTGATGTAACGTGGGAACAGTCAAATCAGGTCAGAGCAAAGACGTAGTACTTCTGTTCCAATGACTGCGTAAGGAAGAATCTGAGCACAGAACAGACACGTAGTAACAGCTGTTAGTGGTTCAGAGGCTTCAGACAGTGACAGTGTCTTCATATTTAACAGTTCTTAATGGCTTTTCTTCAATTGTTCTAATTCTGATGGGGGGGTGAGCGGTTTGAATCTAAGTAAAGTTTTCCACACACAAGTCCCTTTTCCCATTATCCACGTCTCTCTCCTTTTCTCACCAAGCCAATTCCTTGCTTAGACTCAGGTAACAAGCTCATATACATGAGATAGCTCAGCTCATATACATGAAATAATTCACTCAAATTCACATAGAAAGTCTCAGACTGAATTGAACCCAGATTTCTTGCTGCCACAACAGGATATAGCATATGAAAGAATTTAATGAGGATTTAAACAAAAAACAACTGTCAGAGTATGAATTGATTGACCACTGTTAATTTCAACTATGCATATGTTACATAGGATGACTGATCATGAATATCACATGCTAACTTTTCTGCCTAAACATCTTCCTCAAAACAGAGGATAAAGAACCACAAACAACACAATGTATTGACTAATAAGTTTCTAAAACAGAACTGTACGGAAGTCAAACAACATACAAACAAATGCTTGGTAAAGTTGTTTGGACCACTTACAGCTGGTAGTTAGGACCGTGCCTTCTCCACCAGCCATTGTCCCTCTCAAAGTTGCCTCTGAAAAATAAACCAAGCCCCCTGCCTCCAGCTTGGAGGGCAGCCTACAAGGAATGGAAACACTTTGCTGTCTTAGTTTACTGCAAAGAACTTAGATTTTAAAATAATTTTAGATACCAGTGACAAAATTTGTTTCATTGTTATATATGTATCATGCCTAAAGCATCACAATCAGTCAATGAGGTTTGGAAGCATCCAGTTTCAGATTGAATAGTGAAACAAATGAAGGTTACATTAGTTTAGCCACAGATGTGAACAATTTTCAATCTTTTTTCCAGAACAAATACTGTACTGTTAGCAACAGCATCACTAAAGGAATTCATTCTACTTTGGAAAAGTCAAAGTTAAAAAGAAAGTTGTATTTGATATTAGATGCCATCTGTTTAATATTTCCAGCTAATCTTTCTTTTATTAAAGCACCAAAGGAATTCCCTCCCCTGCTCTATTTTCTCTCAACTTCTACTCATGCCAAGATGATGAGTAAGTGGATGCATTGGGATGCCTTTACCAGCTAGCAACCAGCTAGGCAACACTTGGTTTCCTCTCAAACAGAGTTTGATTTTCCATGATCAACAACACATTACAAGGATGATAAACCAGATCCTCCTGGTTTTATTTCCGAGTCCAACCTTGGTTATCCCTGTGGAAACAAGCAGAAAACGTTTCTCCCAATAATTCATTAGTGCATAAAAGCTCTGGAAACCTATCAGTTTACTTACAAGAAAAGTCAAGCAGGAAAGGAAATAGTGAATCTATAAAAGTCAGTACACTTTTACCAGAGAATAAATGCTGGAATTTTGAAGAAAACATGCTAGATACTAGTGGTGTGATCAACTGGAACGATCTCAAGTCATTAGAAAACACAGAGAGTTGAACAAAAAAATGTGTTTGAGGAAATCTACCTAGTGAGAAAGTTCTTTGTTTTATCTTAAATTCTATTAATTAACATGACAATGATAACCTCAATTAATATCAATATAAAATTTAAAATATAGCAAACAATAGATAATATACATAGATAATCAGAAGATGAAAGGAAATTTTTCAGCACAGTAAAAGTGCTGATGCAAGTCAGTGGGTTAGCTGAGACTTAGCAAGACAATAGAGTGGAAAAGATAAAAATATTACAAAAATGACAGTGAATCAATATCTCTGTAGAAGACAGACATTGTATTGCTCTAAATTTAAGCTTGCCTCAAATCCAAGATCTTAATTTTTAAATGAAGCATCCATAACCAACTATAACTTGGGAAAAAGGGTGGTTAAAAATAATCCCTGAAAGTATTGCCTCCAAGCACCTCATCCTAGTTTACTGCACCACAGCTCACCTCGTGTCAGCTGCACACGTTTCTCTCTCCACAGCCGCCTTCCCTGCGATCTGTTTGCCAGGCTGAAGCTCTGATGCCACGAAGCCCCAGAAGAAAACTGTTGAAGGAAGCTATGGCCCCTTGTGAGCTTTCCTAGTCAGCAACCAAGGTGATGGGATATCATAGAATGGTTTGGGTTAGAAGGCACCTTAAAGATCACCTAGTTCCAACCCCCTGCTGCGGGCAGGGACACCCCCCACTAGGTATCAAGGAGATTGTTCCAGAGGAGCAAAGAGCAAACCAGTGGGTACACACACAAATTTGAACTGCATCGATTATGATTCAGTGAATGTGCTTGAAAACACAGATGGAAGAGTTGCAGTTTATGATAATGAGTGAGTAGGTGGGTAGCCTTGTTCTGTATACATGACACAAAGTATCCAGATCTCTCCTGATTCCTGTAGGCATCTCATCTGCATGATGCTAACTGAGATAATGATTTAGTCTGGCAGGTTTAAGACTATCACAGCTACCATATCAGAGCTCAGTTTTCACAGCCATATATTCTGCTCTCACTGTGTTAAATATGTACTGTTATTGTGAGACACACCATAGGAATGATGCTCCTGGGCCTGTAAAATTCTATCTCCTGGCAGGTGATTTCTTTTCTTGCACAGTAAATCCTAGATATAATTTCTGGTTTTAAAAGAAAAACACCTCTAAAAGAGACAAGAGGGTGCCATTAGCATAGGCAGGATTATTTTTCATACCAAGAGCAGGGAAAAAAAACCCCCCAAGGTGTTTTCCACCCCCTGGTTTTGTTTCATGATGCTTAAGGTTGTTGCATAATCATTTTTATCAAATTACTTTATTAGTGAAAATGAACATAAAGGTTTAGAGAACGTATACTGACTATTAAAGCAACCCCAAATGCTGTCTGTTTAGAAGAACTACACAGCCATACAGTTTGTCAAATTATCAGAAATCTGGATCATGAAACTGCTTAGTAGACTCAAGCCGACTACACTCCATTTCACTCAAACGGGCCTGACAGGTATATTGCAGAAAGGGGAACTGCTGGAAGAAAGGGACAGAGTAGCAGCAAATCTGGAACAAAGAAAGATGCGACTAGTAAATCTATTAAATGTTTACTTAAGCTTCTTCACATAAAAGTGTTATTCAAACAGTAAGAAATTCTGTATATCCACTGAGTATATGTGATAGCACTATTACCTGCACACACATAAAAAAGAGTTACACAGAGATGATTTGATTTGTTCAGTGACAGAGCAATTCAGTAGTATATTTTAGGTTGGAGCTCAGCAGTTCCTGATGCCTTATTCAATGAGTGGAGATGGAAAGAAGGATTTCAAGAGAGAGAAATTAAACACAAATGTGAGATGAGAGCCAGAAAAGCTTATTATAGAAGAATATCATTAGTAATAATGCCAAGATGAAGCTATGCTTAAAGTGACACTGGTTAGCAAGATGGCTCGGGTTTAAGGCGAAGTCTGCTTGCTGTCTGTAAAACACAGTTTTCAATTTTAGCAAATTCATTCTTTAATTCTGCAATTTTCAAACTATCAGAGAGGATTCCTGCCAGCCCCTTAGTTCTCCTCTGCTGTTCAGTTTGAGACGCCTGTTCAGTCTTCCTAGTGATTAAGGTTGTTGTAGGGTGGCAAGAAGGAAGAGACAGGACTGATCGCCTCCAGGGCTTTTGCAGTTGATTTTTTTTTTTTTTTTTTTTTTAAGTACAGGAAAAACAGGTGGCTGTTGTCATAAGTGCTAGAATTCAGAAGACAGGAGAGAATACCAGTTTTTTTTAACAACTTGAAATAGACTGATGTTTTTCTAGTGCAGAGCAGAAGACATGATGTAAGAGATACCTTGTTGAATATTCCATACAGTTAAAAATGCATACTGGAAATTGAAAAATAGGAAATCTGCATCCAAACAGGTATTTCTTCCTTTTTATGTCATAAATTCAAACTGCAGAAATAGCTAAATACATTATGACAATGAACCCTCCTGCTCCCTGCCCGTATCACAATTCCAGCTAAGAACTCTGCTTGCTTTGTACCTAGGTTCTGGTGTGAAGTTCCATTTTTAAAAGACAGTAGGAAAATTCAGTACATTTTTTATCCATCTGACAATATAACACCTGTGGGTTTTACATATTCAAAGAAGTGGAATGAAAAAAAATCTTCAGGTATGGCTTAGGGTGTTTTCATATCTTATTGCATGTTTGTAATAACAACACAAATTAATATTTTATTTGTGAAAATTCTAGCTACTAAGAAAAAATAGACCAAATTGTTGTAGG